TTTGATGTTTTTGTAAACTATATATATATATATATATCTGTGTGTGTGTGTGTAAACGTGCAGATGTATATATGGAACATTGCAGAAAATATATGGAGCGTAAAAAAATTTTCCCATCTGGATATAGTTGAGATTAGAACATTGTCGAGAATCACAAGGGGTAAACCACGGAAAAAAACTGGAATTTGGGACACTCTTGTTAGTGCGTTCACATTTTTATTAAAAATAGGGACACTGGTTTGGAATGGGAATGACGAACACTCGATCCAAACACTCTAAAATCTGATTTTGATCTGATCGTGGGCCAAAAAGCTTTAACAAATGTAGCCGTAAGGTGATGGAACCATAAAATCTCGATCAAGTTTGTTGTCATTTTTCCATCATACACCATAAGCCAATGATAATATATCTTTTTTTCCTTAATCCCAAATTTCTTCAATGAAAACAAAGCTTTGTAAAATTTAAAGACTAGCTTTAATTAAGAGTGCTATCTCATGATTGAGAAATTTAATATATCATTGGGAGTTACACCTATGGGAAACTTTGAATGTGAGATATAATCCTCATAGAAGGATGAAATATTTGGATGGTGTCTATTTAGCATGTAATGTACATTTTGAAAAATTCAACCTAAAATCACTCATATATATGAATAGTGCGGATGGAATTTTGAAATCCCACAAATGTCTATGCTAGTTTTTTTCATACTACTATACATGGCTCCTTTCTTAATATTTTGTTTTTGCAAATGGGCTTGGGACCTGCAATTTTAGATTTCTGATACAAAAATATAAGGTTTCTTTAGCTTTTCTTTTTCAACTAAAAGTACAATGCACATTATCAAAACCCAAAGGCCTCTTTCTCATGTAAGAGCATGCTTCATGATTTTGTATGACTGCATTTATTTTTATCATGTTTTAATTCCCCTTAGCCTCCACATCTGAATTAACAACAAAGTGAACTTGTTTTTATACATCATCGATTGTGCTACAGGAAATTTGCATCATGTGCAAACTTTGAAATGTTTGCTTTCTTTTGCATTTTCTATTTTTTTCTTATATGCATTTGCTAAATTCTCCCATCCAATAAATAAAAGAAAAAATATACTTGATATATTTGTTTAGATTTAATTGCAGAAATGGAAACTTTTCATTCCTAGTATTTTATGGTGTACATATGAAGTATTATTATTTGAATTTGCAGTGTTGGATTGCTAAGGAAGACTGCATGTGTTCAATTCTCAATCCATGCTCTCCTTGTAAGAGAATAAGATTTTGGGTGTACATGCATCCGAAGGTTTGCTGCGCTGAATAGCTTTTGTTTACTATTTTGTGCTTTTTTGTCTTGTTTTTCATTTTTTTAATTCTTGTTATGTTTCTTTCAGGACTTCTTGCGACAAAATAACACTGGCAAGTTACTATGGCAACTATTTGGAGTTCAGGCTGCATCATTGTGCCTCTTTGGCATTCATGAACATGAGGAAATCATGTGGGATGCATTTAGAAATGCAGGTTTTATATAATTTTTATTTTTATTTTGGAAGAAATCCTACAAGTAGTTGCATTTGAGCTTGAGAAACGTCATTACCTTTAAATTCAGCATTGCATTATTCTAAATAAGTGCAATATCCCATCTAGAAGAGCATTCATTACCTTTAAATTCAGCATTGCATCATTCTAAATAAGTGCAATATCCCATCTAGAAGAGCAGTTTAATTTGGGTTGGCTTGGTTCCAGCTCAATCCATGAGCTTATCTGTCGCTAATGGTTGCTGAATTCAGTTTATTCACTCATTCTTAGTTTCCAAATCAAGGTAATGTCCTTGTCAATGAACCTTGCTCTACCTCCCCTGGTTGTACGCTACTTGTGGTAAGGTGGGATGATATGTAGCAATTATATGGGTGGAAGATGGTTGGCAGGTAGCTGGTGAAGATGAGGCGATAAAGAAAAATCCGGTAAACTAAGAAAACGGGTACTGGCTATGTCACATTGCTTTCTGATCAGAGGAGAAGAGGAAGTATCACAACCCATAACACACAGTAGAAGGCTGGTGGAAACCTCAAAATAGAAGAAGATTGCATGCATTCAATTCATTAAATCCAAAATGAGATGCTATGACTATTTATTAGAATAACATGACCTAAACAATGATATATCAACCCTTAAGCTTAAAATCAATATTAACTACCACTAAACTGGTAAATATTTCTAACTAGTACTGTGAACTCTCAATCTTCTTAGACTTCAATTAGGACATATATGTTGACAATGAATTGCTCAGTGGTCTTCGTCAAGTCTTCTGAGATTACATGTCATCACGCTGTGGGTGCCCAATTCCTAGCATTCTTCAAGTGACTAGGGAATTGTGAAGTTCTTCATGTGTCACCAAATTGTCTTGTGATTATGGTTGATCTAATCAACGAATATATAGCATTTAACACCAAAATGCCCAAATTCATTTGTTTCAATCTAATTTCTCTATTATTGGCTGGGAACTATTAGGGAACTATTAGATAGACCACTACAAGTACAATAATAGTTGAATCAACTACTCTATAGATCACTACAAGTACAATAATAGTTGAATCAACTACTCTTTATGAGGATACAGTTACAGGAATTACTCCAAGCTTGATTGTATCTTGATATGACAATAAACATTCCGCTTTAGAAGTAGGGTTAGCATATATGTAAGATGAAAAATTAGGTATGTTTCATTAGGTTTTAGCTCCCTACTAATTTTGTAAGCCCTAAGCCTCGTCATATAACTTTATGTGGGTATTTTTTGCAGTATGGACTTGAAAAGAATATCAACTGAAACAATCACTTCTGGTATATTATCAAAGTCCTTTATGATTTCTGTTAAGATCTTATAACGTCCATTTTGCTTCATCTCTTATATTTTGACATGGCCATTTTTTTTAAGAAGATGCTTAGCAATTGTGGCTGTAGAATTCAAATATGCATGTTTGTATACACTAATGAGCTCTATTGGCCATTTGGAGTTAATTCTTCTACAAATTTAGATGGAATTTTGCTTGCAATTTTATTAATAGAGCTTAAAAGCGATTTCAACAATAAGAAGAATTATGCATAAGTTGATAAATTTCACTATCCATAATTTTCTAAACTTCTATTCACAATCTTATTATGCCCATTCATCTATAGGTAAAAACAAATGGAAATACAAAGGAAGCTATAAATTAATTTTCTCAATCTTCCAAAAATAGCTAGCAAACATAACTTCTGTATTAGACAATTTATTTTGGTAACTCATGAGATTCGATATATTTTTTGAAAATTTCTTTAGTCATTCATGTTGCATCGGTCACGTTTGAAAATAAAACATCAACTTAGAGAAATAGTAATTTCAAAATAAATTCATGCTATTTAGTAGTTTTTAGAAATTCCAAATCAAAATCCATGCTCAGATTTTGCCAAATAGCGATCAGAGTAGTAGGTCTTGTATGATCTAATAGCTCTAGAAAATTAAATGCATGAAATCAGTTACAAATTATAAAAACTTCTAAACCTAATGCAAGCTAGTAGAATGTTTTTAACAATAAATTGATAGTTTTGCACTGTCCAACATGAACAATAAATTTATAGTTTTGTAGTGCCCAACATGTCGAACAACTTATTCGAATTGTAACTCTTTGAAATATGAAAATCTTTTGTAGAAGCACATGGAATATGCATCTTTTATCTTTAAAAAAATATCTCTATTTATGACGTTGTCATCATCAATTATGTGGTTTATATCCTCAGTTTCTTTCTAAATGACAAAATTCATGGGGTTTATTAATACATTTATGTTGTGCAAATTAAGAGCTACTTTATTTTGAACTTCTGAATGATGCTGCAAAATAGTGTTTTTATTATGAATTATTAGTTAACTTGGCATGTGTTGAATTAAGTTTTCTTATATTTAAGTGGTTGAAGATATAGCCCAACTTGTAGTGCGAGTGATTTGGGGATTAGATCTTGTAGGTGATTAATTAAATCATTTATGATTCCCTTTATTACATCAAAGATCAAATAGATCATATTTGTTGAAATTTTAACAGTTTAAAATATAGTTTTCTCTGTAAGATTTGTCAATTATGGTCATTCTCTAATTACCTTATCAAGATCTAAGTGGATATTTTTATAGACGTGATTAAGGGTCCGTTTGGGGTAGCTTATAAGTGCGGGCGGCGTTTTCAAAACGCTGCACTGTTTGGTTCGCGCATTTCACCAGCTTATCCGAAATTGCGTTTTGGTTTTTACACTAAACGCAGGCCTGCAGTCGGCCCGCGGGTCGCGTTTCAGGATAAGCAGCTTATCCTAAAACGCACAAGCTGCCCCAAATGGACCCTAAATTAATAATCAGTTACCATACAAAGGAGGTTGAAACCTTGAAAGCTGGACCATCAACTGCAAATTTGGATTATAGTGAAGTAGTATGAATTTGAATTCTTAAAATTTTAAGCTTTTCATAAAGTTGGTAGTCCATGATGTTGTGCCCTGGGATTGATCCACTTGAAGGGGGCCATTTGAAGTTTGGTCCTCTTTTTAGAAGGGCTAGGAAGAGTGGCTACATTTTGGTGGAGTTGATTAAAAAATGGAATTAAGGTTATGAGTATAAATAGGTTCAGCAACACATGGCAATCCAAAACTTGAAGAATCTGAGTTTTGATTTTAGCATTTTAGTGTGAGGAATTTACTGCACCATGGGGAATTTTAATTCAATATGTAGAGTTGCATTCTTTTCAAAATTTTGATTTATTTTAAGATTTTAACTAAAGCTAGATCAAGTGGATCTCTTTTTGTTGCCTGACGACACAATAGGTGGAATTTTGACTTTGGGAAGTGGACTGGTTAGGGATTTGAGTTAAACACATATGAAAATTAAAGTCAAGTTTCTTGTAATAATTTATAGAATTTCACAAATTGTCAGTAGATTATGGTCCACCAACTAATCTATGGACAAAAAATTAGGTCCTGTTGAGGACTAGCCTTGACTGAACATGCAGCTGTGGTCTCCATGGATTTATGTGGTAATTGTTTTAGTAAAAAAATATTTCTTACACTATTGGATGAAGGAAGAACAACAACCAACAACAGAGCAATCATTAAAACATTGCAAATTAGAAAACTTCTTATAAATCATAAAAGATGTATTAGAACGAGTTATCAAAATAACTTCATTTAAAGATATTGCCACCCAGCTTTTTCATTTTCCTTGGAATATCTCCAAACAATTTTACTTGCAACCACTTTTCTGTCTTTATTTTCCAGTAATAATATATTTTATAATATCAGAAATTCAAAATACACAAAGGAGGGAAAAGGGAGAGGGTGAGTGGCCACTAGGATAACTAACTTGTAACTTGATGGCTTAACTTGCCTTACTTTTCTTGAACCTTCATTCAACTCCATGGCCGGCAACTCCTTGATTTGGAAAGATGTTTAGTTGCTAATTTTATGTAAATAAATAATTTTCAATGAATTTGTTTAGTTTTGGCATGCTAATTAAAATATGATTCTAAATTTTAAGGAATTGAATTTTGAAATTTAAAATTTTTAACTAATTCAAATGCCCACACACATACATATATAACAAATATATAATTTTAAACATAATGTTCATACAATGAAAAATAAAAAAAAAGTTCCTAAATAAGGGATTTTGTTCTTTTTCTAGTCAATAGATCTTAATAAACTGCATTCTTCTTGGAAGGAGCATTTATGATTGGTCCTTTGCTCACTTGTTAGCATCACTTGCCACATCAATTTTCTCAGGTGTCAAAGAACTCCTTTACGTAGAGTTAAATAGATGTTTTCAACTAATGCTTTACTGGTGGTTGAGTATCTATTGGTGTCGGTAAATCATCAAATATTAGTAGCACCATCTAAATCTGCATGTGATGATTTTGTCTTGCTACAAATGTTTTATCACGGGCCTTCTAACTCCTTCATACATCATATTCATGGACGCATTTTTAGTGTTGAAATATGAAATGTTGATACTATTAGTAAAGGTGAGTTAGATGGAATTTATTGTGATAGGCAAGAGGGGTAGATGATAATAGAGTGGATTGTTAACTATGATACTGAAGGCAAAAGTCTATAATCACTTGAGGTTCTCATAAGATGTATGTGCAAGCTTTCATCCTTGGTTTCATCCTTGAAGCATAAACTGAGTTCCTCAAATGTCCATCGGTTAACACCTTCATTTACAGGTTCATTGTTGATCTAGTACATAAGAGGGACCTGATTGAAAACTTATTGTTGGATATCTGTCTGCCGCCTCCATTGCTACTAATGGATCAACTGGAGGAGTTATTACCAGACAGATGATTGCTACTTAAATTTTTTTTAATGGTGTTGTCCATAGCTTTTGGCTTGAAGATAATTCACGGGTTTCTTGGATTTTTTATTTGCCTCATTTCTCAGTTTGACCTTTCAGGGAAGGTTATTATTAGACAGAGAGTAATGTTATGAATCCTTAACTTGAATAATTGACATTG